CCCCAAAACCCCAAAACCCCAAAACCCCAAAACCCCAAACAAGTTATTTAATGGTTTTTAAGATTTTATTTAGTTTAATAAATTAAGATTAACTTATAAAATATCTATGTATACAATAAACAATATCAATTAATCAAATAGAAAATATGACCTATCAAGCACATGCATTCAAATAAGAATCTAAATCAAAGTTCTGCTAAAATATTTCATACAACCTCTTTTCAATTTAATGTAGACTGTCTACAATTTCAGTATATTGTGATTCACTGAGCATCATCTTATCATTCAATTCAACAGTTCTATGAATATATGAGATAAGATTTGAAACCACATCACAAAGCAGTTCTTTCAATATTATATTCAAATGCAATTAGGTTGCAAAAGAAACTATCTTGAAAATTGGTTTTAATAGCTCATTGTTAGTTGTGCTGCTGCAAAGAAAAAGAGATATTAGGTCCTAAGCCTCTTAAATAACAAATTCAGTGAATTCTTCTATGCAAGATCCATCCTTAAGAATATCCCAATCTTGGTGAATAGAAGTTGCTGGATCATTTAGAAGATTTCCCAGAGATAGAGACTCAAGCTGAAATCCAAATCTACTCTTGACTGGGTATATGAGTTCTCTCATCATGCTGAAAAACTTTTAAGGAGTCAACTTCAAATTCTAGCAGGCTCTCAATGAAATCATAAGTCTCTATTCTAATAGTTTGCCCTCATTCAAATGCTTGTTAAGGAATAATTATTTAGCTCATGAAGAATTGAATTAGCATTGCAACTCTTTGAAATCATCTAAGATTGAGGGCTGTAAATTAAGGGAATTATTTTCAGTTTAACTCATTGGATCTAGTTCAATTAAACTTTTTGACTTGGCAAAAGTGGCATTTTAATGATTCTCTTTCAATATTACCTTTTAAGAACCTTAGGTTTTAATAAACTAACTTGTGTTATTAGAAATTATTGAGACTTAGGTAGAATACTCATAATCTTGCTGCTTACTTCTTGTTTTAGGAGTATTATCTGAAAATATGCCAACATTTTTCTTTGGATTGATGTGAGTATAGCAGTTGAGGTTAGATTAATTCTATCTCTGCTGGAATGTTTAAAAAGGCAATTTATCATTAGGGGATGAGGTATGTTTATAGTAATCCACTTTATTTTAGTAATCAACAGATTTTGTTTCTGGGTTCAAATTTTAAAATTTTGAAGTAATTTCTGCTTATCTATCCATTGTTGTTGAATTGTTATTTGAGAATTTCAGCTCATTGGACTGCTCTATTTAAACAATATAATTAGATATAAACTTGTTGATATAATAGATTAGATTTTCAAAACCATTAATGTCTAAATAAGTTGTTAAGGTACTTACTGAAATATTGCTTCTTGTGTGAATACATGTGTGAGAACTTTATTAATCAATTATTAAATTAAGTTTAAGATCAGATTAATATTAAGATTAATTCAAAAGCAGCTGACTTAATATCTCAATCAATTATTTAATTACATTAAGATGGAAGATATACTATTTATATGCATAATCACTACTTCTTAGGAATCTGGCGACTATTTATTTCCTTAGCTGCATCTCCAAGTTCAGCCTCTCTTTAAAACCTTTTAAACTCATCTTCATTAATTCTATCTTTATATCTATTTGCTACATCTCTGAGAAACAAATTATGCTGTTTTTTGTAGTAATTGTAATATGAAATGGAAGGCATATAACTTGCCATAATAATCATTAAACTTTACCCAATCTCTTTATGGCCTGTCTTTATCTGCCAAAATCTAAAAGCAGATGTACTGATGAACCCAAAAAATACAAATACTGCAGTCCACCTTATATTCCCTCTAATTTCTTCGTTTTTAATTTAATCTTAAGGGTCAAACACACCTGGCCTTAGATTCATAAGTAACTCGAAATTCCTCATTCGATTGTAGTCTTCCCTCCTCTACTAGTTTTATTTCTTAACTTCCTCCTTATCAATCATTCTTAACTTTATTTATTATTTTTGCTATCCATCTAAACTAAACTATTTCTGATCTTGGTCCCCAATCTCTTAAGTTCTATCCTAATATTCTTACTATTTTTCGTTTTATTATTGGTTGTATAAATTTGTGCGGTCCATAATTATTAGTGATAGTTATAATTAAATATAAATGTCAAAATCAAAAAGCATATACTCTAAAGTCAAGTCAGCCAAATTTGCACCCTAGGTAGTGCCTCTAGTATTTCACGGAGAAGAAAATGCAGATGGTATCAAACTTCAAACACTGTTAATCCTAATTAATTATAGCTTTGTTCTAGTATAACGACAGAGTGATAAATACAATATCTGCCAAGTCTAAATTGATCTTTCAATCACTTAAAATGACTGCAGTAAGAATACAATTTATTAATAAATTGAATAAGCATTGCTATTTTAGGCATATAATGGATTATTCTCGTTATCTGCTAACTAGATTAGTATTTAATTGGCAGTATTTGCAATGCATAGAAATATTCCATCTGGATTTTGGTTCCACAAGTCGACTGAGCAAAATTTAGATCAAGATTAGCAGGCACAACTTAATGTTGAGGACTATGATATTTATATCAACCCACAACTAAAGGCAGAAACTAGAGTAATATAACTTTATGATGATTGACTCAAATTTTAGCAATAAGAATACTGCTGGGAATATTGCCCTTCTTTTATTGGTTTAAGATGCATGGTTAAAAGACCCCTTGGAATCTTTGTTTCTTATATGAACGAAGAGGGTGATGAAATAGAGAAAGAAATATTTGATTTTTAAGCTAGAGTATTCTTACATGAATTGGATCATATCGATGGAAGAACTATGACTCATTGGAGGCTATCAGAGGGTAATATAGATATTATAGACTCAGAGAAAGACAATCATAAAAACTTAGCAAGTGTATGAATTTTTCTTTTACAAATTTCTAAACAATCTCAACTAATTGATTTTAGACTATTGATTTTTACAAGCACAAAGTTTAAGATATGAAGAGAGATTTTCCTCATATGTTTGATGAGACTAGAAAGCATGAAAAGATCATTAAAGACGGCAAAGAATGGAATAACTTCCATAAAGAAGGTAGGGAATCATCGTTTAAGATTGAGGATTAGGGACATAAGCCAAGTTTTGAGGATGCAATGCTTCTTGATATGGTTAGAGCTTCTCGTAAGGACACACTCGCAAGGGATAAGAAATAAGGGAAACAATCTCAAAATTAATGAACATTAAATAAATTAGATTAGTCTTGAGTTCATGTATTGAAAACATTTGTAAGAAAATATAAAACATGGAATTCCAATACATGGGGTTTTGGGGTTTTGGGGTTTTGGGGG